TCATGATTATCATCTTATTTTGACAAGGCCTTTGATCGATAAGCATTCATCTTCCCCTGTTATCTTATCAAGAAATCGATGCAACCTATATATGACTTGTCCTCCTCCTAATGAGCCAATTATTGAGATAATAATTGTACATGGGAAAAAATGATCTTTTTTTTTAAAGTATTTTTTAGATAACATCTAAATAAATTTTTTTACTTTTTAGTGTAATTAACTATTCAACGACCGGGCTTCTTGTTAAAGAATCATGCACTACATAGGCTACTCTCGAAGAGGTTGATGTGGCGATTAGTATTGAAGATACTAGTCTCGACTAAGGAGATATAAAAATTGGCCTAGTTAATTCTAGAGAATTGCTAGTTGAGATTGACCAACCATCCATTAAGCAACAAGTTGGTGTAGAGTTGAGAACTCAAGTCATCTAAGAGATAATTATCACCTAAAGTTTAGTGAAAAAAAATTGTGTGAAGAGAGTTAGGAAATGGGAGAGAAAAGAAGCATTGTGTGAAAAGAGTAAAGAAGAGAGAGAGAAATTTTACATAGCGAAGATTTCACTTTTTTAAATTAGCTTAAATTTAAAAGATTGATTAATCTAAGCTCCACCAAACTCTTTATTTATACATTCGGGATTGGGCTTTGGTGTAAGTAGGATTAGCTATATCTATATTGCCCAACTACATACATGTACATTAGTTCATAACCTCATTATGTCATAATGGCCAACCGAATTGACAAAGTTACTAACTTGACTTGAGCATTTCATGCACTCAAGTGAGTTTTTTGGAACCTTTGGCAAGTCTATTCTGAGTTAAATTGACTTCATATGAATCAAGTTAACTTTGACTAGATTGGGTTTATGGATGTTCAATTGCATATTGATGAGATTTTACCGTCGCACTTGTCTGATCTTCCCTATTATCAAAAGAACAATTAAGATGACCATCAACTCTACCTCCCACTTCCTATATTGCTTATTAATCATCACTCAATGCTTACTAAATATTAATTTCAATTTAGGTCATCCAATAATGCTTGTTGAACATTTATCTTCTTGATCATCCTATCTTCAACTATGTTGAGCACCGACCATTATCTTTTAACTCCCATCTGAAGACCCCTTATTTTATCACTATAGAAAATATATTATACTATGCAAAATATATTTTATTAACATTTTCTCAATTTATGAGAAAAAAACTCTTTTGTATTACTAGATTCACATATATAAAAGCAGGGGCGGAAATGTTATGTTGTTAGGGCGTGCAATTCGATCCCCCACACCCGCTAAATATTTTTTTTATTATAGAGGGGCAATTAGCTAACTTGACCCCCTTAAATCTCTTATTTTGCGCCCCCCTGCCCTAACCAGCCGAAATCACACGCAAAAAGCAGCGAAAGAAATTCGCGCAAGACGGCAAGAGAGAAGGCTTCGAGTTCGGTCAGCTGATTCGCATAAGAGGAGGCTCTGGAGATTGGATTTCACCAGTTTGGTCGACTGCTTGTGGTCAAAATTTTGTTTCCTTGGGGAGGGAAACATCCTCCTGTCGCCTGTCGGGTCTGTTCGTGAATCACGAGGGTCTCCGACATCGGGAGATCTAGGTTAGTTTTGATTTTTGAACACATTGCTTGATTGTTCTGTTTGTTATTTTTTATTTGATTTCTGTTATTTTATTGGATTTTCATACTGAAATTATGCGTTCTTTGTGGTATTTCATGGAATCATTGTTGCTTTTCATTTTTTTTTTTGCTATATCTATATTCTTCTTATTTTCTTTCAACAGAGGTTGATCTTTTGCAGACATTGCAGGCGCCATCCCCCATCCCAATAGAGATGAACTGATCTTATTTCCTTTTAATAAAAGAATAATTACTATTTACTTTTGTTTTTTTTTTCGGTAGTTAGTCTAACAGAATTATGCTACTTTAGTATAAAAAATGCCATAGGAGAATGAAACTTGAGACATGTAGCATTGTTGCCAAAAAAAATTGTAGACATGTAGATTTTTTATGCTTCGATGAAATGACAGAATGAAACTTGAAATATTTAGAAAAAATTCTAGAATTATTGTTTTTTGTTAGAAATGCTAGAAGAGATCCTCATGATAATAATTCTAGAATTGTTGTTTTGCTATTTGATTTTACTAGCATTTTATTGTTTGTTATGATGTAAATATTGTGATTAACAGTTACTCTTCTTTGGTAATAAATTTCATTCTTGAATTTAGAGAAATGGAGCATTATTTAAAGAGGAAAGAGCGAATAAAAATTGATATTAACAATCTCCCACCAGATCCAGGACTCCGACTTTCTATTTGGAGTTATGATATAAATGATAGAGATAAAATTCGGAGATCATATATATTGAAGGGACCCCATCACCGAGAAGTCATCAATTTCCCCAAACTTTATATGGAATTTCATGATTTAAAGGTCCTAAATTATTCTAAATGATAACCCTCAAGCATTTTATGTTTACTGTTTCGCTCATCAACTCCAATTATGTTTGGTAGCAGTGATAAAAGATCATTGGTAAGTAAAACATCTTTTTGAGTTCACTTCTAGAATTATTAATATTATTTGGGCTTCTTATAAGAGATCAGATGCTCTTAAAAGTATTTAGCATGAAAAAGTTCTTCTTTATCTTAAAAATGGAAATCTCATAAGTGGCAAAGGTTTGAATCAGGAGACAAATTTATAGAAATCTAGTGATACTCGTTGGAGTTCACATTTCTATTCTTTTATTAGTCTTATGCATATGTATGCTTCTGTGATCGACGAGATTGTTAAGGAGGAAGGAGTTAATGATCAGCAATTGGTTGAAGTGGATGTTCTGATTGATAGAGGTGTCAATTTAGGGTCATGGGTCGGGTTTGGGTCGAACCCGGAATTGAACCGACACTATTCGGGTTTGGGTCAACCCGACCCGTTTTTACAAACGGGTTGATTTTTCGTACCCGGACCCTACCCGCTTTGGGTTCGGGTCAACCCGACCCGACCCGTTTAGAGTTTAGGGTCACGCCGTCACGTGAAGAGACTCGGACAACAGACGGTGGACGGCTAACGGGCTGAGTCGCGGACGCTAGTCACGCGGACGCCGGCCACGCGAACTCCGCTCAGCCAGTCATGCGGACACCGGTTGCGGTCGACGCCAGTCACGCGGACGCCGGACTGCGGAGTGCGGACGGCTGTTTTCATGTTGACACCGTTCACACGGACCGAGGATGGTCACGCGGACGGCGGAAGGCCGGAAGCCAATTTGCGGACGCAAAGGGGCGATGCGACCTCGGGTCAGGCGGATTTCCGGGTCATTCTGGGTCAGTCCCGGGTTCCCGGGTCAACCCGAACCCAACCCTGTTTTGCAAACAGGTCGGTTTTTTGGACCCGAACCCGACCCGCTTCGGGTTCGGGTCAACCCAAACCCGAAATTTTCGAGTCAGGTTTGGGTCGGGTCCAATATTGACATGTCTACTAATTGATATAATGGAGTCTTTTGATTTTATGTTTATAATGCATTTTAATGATTGATATATTGGGCGAATGAGTTATCATAATCATTGCAAAGAAAAAATCAAGACATTGAAAATGCAATGAAATTGGTTCAAATTTTCGAACAACGACTGCAACTTCTAAGGTAGAATAGATGGAATGTTTTACTATATGAAGTGTCATGTTTTTGTGGTGTTTTTGAAGTTATTGTTCCAAACATGAATGAAACATAAAAAACTCTTCGTCGATCAGTGCGAAGAGGTGAATATAAAATAAATCTACATCATTATCGTGTTGATCTATTTTATACATTAATTGATATGCAACTTCAAGAGCTAAATAATCACTTTTCTGAATCAAGTGCTGAGTTACTTCTTTGTGTGTCATGTTTAAATCCAAGTGATTCTTTTCTTGCTTATGATGAGAGGAAATTGATATATTTAGCAGAGTTACATCCAAATGATTTTTCTATAATTGAGGTTGTTGCTCTTAAAAGTCAATTATCAACGTACATTATCGATATGCAGACCAGTGAGGAGTTCTCCTCTATAAGAAGCATTGCTGATATTGCAAAGCAGATTGTTAAGTTTAAGAAGAATGGTGTGTATCCTCTGGTTTACAAACTTATTACTTTAGCATTAACTTTACCAGTTGGTAAATGCTATAGTGGAGAGAGCTTTTTCAGCCATAAAATTATCAAATATAAATTGCGTAACAGGATGAGTGATGATTGACTCAACGATTGTCTTGTGCCTTATATTAAAAAAGATGTGTTTGATTTGATTCACAATAAAGATGTTATCCAATATTATCAAAAAATACAAAGTAGATTAATAAAATTGTAATGATTTCAATTTTTCTATCATAATAGAATACTAGATTTCACTTTGAATTATGTCCTCATTTTTTTATATTAGTCTATTACTAAGAAAATTTTGCCTAGAACTACTCTCAACTTATTTATATATTTTTTAAAATTTAATTTAGGCTTCGTTTGGGACGGCTTTTTTGTTACTTTTTAAAGCAGCTTTCTAGTAAAAAATTTTAATTATTGAACTAAAAAACTGTTTTAAGAAGCAGCAAAAAGCTGCCCCAAAAAAAGCCTTAATTTTAAGATGATAAATATTCCAACTCTTCGACGGTAATGAATAACATAACATTACCCGAAAAAACAAAACCAAATAGCCCTCTAAATAGTATTATTCTCGGCCATTGCCATCACTAATAATGTTCTTAGTATATAATTATGTTCGAGTGCGTCTCTTATCGGAAAGAAAAAGGGTGGATTTGGAATTTCGTACTCTACCACGTGGCTGTTATGGGCCCACGCGTCCTTGACCGTAGAGCACAATATACATTTCCCGGTTAGGCCCCGGTCCAATATTTCGCCGGCTGAAACGGACCTAAGCATGCGTTTTGACTATCGGGCAGCGGGCAGCGGGCAGCTTCTCCGGGTAGCTAGTTGCCCTCCGCCGGTCCACCCTGCGGTTTGCATGCGAGGCCTAGAGGGCGACCACTTCACTCTCTGCTGACCAAAAAGACATCCAGCGATTTTTCTCAAAGAAGAAAATTGAAGGAAAGGAGAAAAAAAAAGAAGAAAAAAAAGAAGAGAAGTCGGGTATAATTATATTGCTCCAGATATTCTCTAGATCGGCAGTTCATCTCTTTGAGATCACATCTCCGTTGCTGAGCGCAGGGCAACGATTTTCTCGAGAGGATTTGTTGGGGGATTCGAGTTTTTGCCGAGGTTTCGGACAGCCCGAGCTTGCTGAGGGGATTTTATGATGGATCTGCGAGGCTTGTTGCTGTAGAGAAAGGTTTTTGTTGGAGAAATGGAGATGTGGATGCGGGAAGCATTGGAGCGGTGGTTTCTTTTCTTCGTCCTAGTGCTCCATCCTCTTGCTAGAATTCTCGCTAACATGGAAGGTACGGGATCGGCTTATTCATACTCCTTTTGTTGGTTTCTTTCTTGTGCTGATTTTTTATCCGTAATGATTTGTGCCTGGAGGGGAACGGAGATCTGGTTGTGCACATGAGACTGGAGGTTAATCTTTCTAGTTGCGTGTTCTGTTTGAATGATCGGTTTTGATGGTAGTGGAATTTAATTAAATTTAAGAGAGGCAAGGGAAATTTGCGCTTATGGGTTAATTGGAGGCATTGTCTTATAGTAAGAAGGGATATGTTTTCTTCATGAGACATAGTCCTATATTCAGAAGGTATATCTTTTCCTCTATCTGGAGTGTGTTGTGCTTGGCGGAGGACCAAATCCTACCACGGCGGTGACTACTTCCTTTAGCCGTTACAAAGCTGCGAAGTTTTCTCTGAAATTATTGCTTCTGCAGGGCATTTTCGTTGTGCTTTTTCCTATTAATGTCCAGTACTGAACTGATATGCAATGATTGTAGTTTTTTTATTCTTTTCTGTTATATGGTTCTGTAAACAAATGTTAATGTATAAGACATACTTCATCTTCAGAGATCAAACTAGCATAGTACATTTTGCCTATCAGTTACTTGTTTATATCTCAACACATGATTCTCCATAATGTTCTCTTGAAGAATAGTTTAGTATTTCTTATGCACTTCTTCTCAATGAACTAACATTAATGTTATAAACAATATCCTTGTGTGTGTGTGTGTGTATTATCACATATACATATCACTTGATCTTCTTACAATATTTGACTTTTATTTATCAATTACATGCAAAGAAAAAATTCAGCGTATGTGCTTTGAGCTAAAAAGTTAAATCAATAGAGAAATTAATGCACAGTGGGATCCTTCTTGTTAGGATTTATAAGTATTGGTTTGTATTTTTTTTTAAATTTCTGGCACTAAAGTTGATATTCCAATTCTCAGATAGATAAGGGCTTTGTTTTTTAATATTTTTGTTAAACTCCCCACTATTCGATTATGTTTAGGTGTGTTTGTCTATGTTGTCGAGGTTGTGATCTTCCTACGTCTCTGTGTTAATTGTGTCATGCAATTTGTTATTCAGCTAAACTCCTTGTGATCCGTTCGTTCTTTTGTGGCTTTGAACTTATATGATTGAGTTGCTTGTGGCTTCTATTTGTGGCTTTCTATTGACAGGAGCTTGTGATCTTTTATTTAGTGATTCCTTGAGGCCTTTATGTTGATTGGGATTTTCTATCTTCAATAGTAGTGGCTTTCTATTTCTCTCTTTTTGAGACTCTCTATGCATATGGGTCTTGCTATTATTCTATTTTGCAGGTCTTTATTGAGTTCGACTCCTCTGTTATGTATGACTATTAAGGGGAACATCTAATTTGGTTTATGATTATAAATAGGGTCATGATATGTAGAAAAATTCAATTAGTAGTTGAAGTAAATATTTGTGTATGTGCAATTCCTTCTATTTTAATAAATTTAGTCCTTGATCAAGTAAGAGACTTAAAAAATTCCAAGAGCGGTTATCTTTTATGCAAGAGCAAGGCATGTTTTTTTATGAATTCATCTTCTTAGTCTTTCGTATGTGTTTTGTTATAGGTTTTGAAATAATGATTATGCTTAGTCAAATTTATATAATCTAGATTCAGTCAACTGCACAAATTTAAAACTTTTGTGTATATGGCTGACAGTTTATTTGTAATGCTTCTTCATCATTCTAAGTTTTCCTTATAAGAATTCCCTGCTAAAATTATGATGCCATTTATTATTTCGAGTTTTGATGTCTCGGGATTCTTTGTTATACTCTGTATACAGGTGATGCCTTGCATAGCCTACGTACAAATCTGAAAGACCCTAACAATGTACTGCAGAGTTGGGATCCAACTCTAGTCAATCCATGCACATGGTTCCACGTAACATGTAGCCCTGACAACAGTGTTATTAGAGTGTAAGTGGATAAATCAAAATACATAATTTGACTTACTTTTATGTGTTATGAGAATGTAAGTGAATAAATCACATTTCAAAATGACTTAAATTTGAATATTCTTTTTGGTTCGTTGATTCTTGTATTTTCAGTGATCTTGGAAATGCACAGTTATCTGGTCAATTGGTCCCCCAACTTGGGCAGTTGAAAAATTTACAGTATCTGTAAGTTCTGTAGATCTCATGGATTTTTGTTTTTCCTAAATTTGAATGTGATTTTGAATTGCAAATATTGTCTTACACTGGAACATGGAACTAACCATCTAGGATCTTCATTAGGGGCCATGGCGCATACTTTCTCACTTCTCTGTTGTCATAATTCATATTCAATTTTATCTTTCTTTGACTGGACATTAGAAGTGGTTCCACTAAAGAATAGATGTTAATTATTCAATGGATAATTATTCAACCTGCCAACTAAGTCAATAGTTTGGAGGAGATAATATCAAAATAAAAACGTTACATCAACTTTAAATAGTTCATAGTTTTTTTCTTAAAAAATTATTAGCCTTGTCTATTTTTAATTAAAACAAAGATTGAGTATGCTTTTGAAAATATTGTGCTTTGGTCGATGGATGCATGGATACACTCGAATATTTCAATTTTATTCTTCAGAATTTTGCTTGGAAAAGTAAGATCTAAATTGGTGGCAGGCCAATTGATCTTTTTGTTAGGTTCCTTTTTGAGCGTTCTAGCATCAAACATGTAGTAAGATATGCATACAATGCCAGATATGTTAATGATTTGGAATTTTTGATAATTGATTGAAATATACCTTAGCTTTAAACGTGTTCAAAATTTTTATGTCTACGGGAATACCATTAGAGTCTTGAGGATATGATTCTTGGCATTAGTTTTTAGTTTGACACCTAAGGACATCCACATAGCTAAACCTTGTGTATAGCATATGTTTTGATCTAATTTTATCTTACTTTTCAGAATGTTAACTAGATTTGATTTGTCAGATGTATCTTTAGCTTTTAAAAAGTATTTTCTTTGGTGTTGAAATGCCATGCTAATAATACTGCTTGATAAAATGAAAGCCTGTCAATTGATTATGCTTTTCCATTTGGTCTCCGACAAAGGATAAAGTCTACTCAGACTTTGCGCTTGCTTACTCATTTTTGGGCTAAGTATGTGTATGCTCCAAAAGCCTTAGGTGTGGGATTTTAGCACTAGTCTGAGTCAAACATCTATATTTGAAGCTGATGGTTAGGTTTAATTTGTATGGACACTCACAATGGAAATTCCTAACCTCCTCTCTTCAGCTTTATTACAATGGAAAATACTTCGGAGTTCATCCTATTTAGGTGCCATTGAATTAGTGCCCTTAATGAACAACTCGATACTCATTTATGTTAGGCTCATTTATTTTGCTTATATATATAATTAAAAAATCTTAAACAAAAATTTAAAAACTCATCATATAAATAACAAGTTTTAGAATTTCTACATTTATGTTTGTGAATATACTCGTTTGTTATTTAACAAGTAGCTAATTGAAAGCTTGATAAAATGTTCATTTGATGATGGTTTAATTTCTTATTTAAAGACTTATATTTTTATAATTATTTTAACATTTTAAAGTTAATTATATCGTTATAGATATACTTATGTTAAAAATATCAAATAAATTGCTAGATATAGTATTTTCTTACTAGTATTTTAATTTAGCCAAACAACTTAAATAATATCTTGTGAATTATGCCAATTTTAAATAAAATTAATAAATTTAATCATGCCTAAATAATAAGGATATATGGCTAGGTAGACTCAATTAAAGCTCATTAATTCCTCAAAGTCGATCAAAAGGTTAATGAAAAAGTTTGAATAAGAACTTAAACTTGGGCCTTGTTCAATCTTTTGCTCATACTTGATAAGAGAATAAAAGGATGAGTTAGAACAAGATATCACTTAGCTCAACTTGACTTGGCTCATTTATAACTCTTATCTTATTTTGCCAAAACAGAGTAACTTTATTTCTTAAGGCACAATAAGCATAGCAACAAATGAGTATTTAAGACAAGTTATCATGACCATTTGCTCCGATCAATTGATTATGTGTTTGCTATTGTGGTTAGGGTTTTGGGCGTGCATGCCTAAGGAAGTAAACTTATTTAAGGCGGGATGGAGTGTGCCGTGTGGGCGGTTTAGTGGTTGCCTTTATGTAAATGGGGTTGGAGATCATGGTGTGCAATCTTTTTAGCTTCTGTAGTGCTTGTTTCAAGTTTTTGGTGGTAAAAACATTGATTGCAACGAAATGTAGGATTGGCATATCTAGAATGCTCTGTGATATGCTACAGTTGGGCTTCAGCCTCATACCCTATATTTTAGGCCAAGCTGGCAATAGTTTGAAGACTAGATGCTCAATTGAGCTCAGGCTTGGTGAAAAGTGGCTCTCTTCGTGCCTTGCCTAGTCAATAAGTATGTATAACAGGTGCTACGGTAATGAGCAAACTCTAAACTCTAAAGTTATGAGTATGGTAAACCATAGTTTGAACATTGCTTTGTAACCAACACTCAGTGTACTATTTTCTTTCCCTAGAATGGCTAGTTATTAATTTTTTTGTTTCTAATGATCTTGATTTCCCATTCATGATTACATTTGACTTATGCTAAGAAAGGTAGAGGTAGACCTAAAAAGACTTGGTTAGAAAATATTAGAAATGATCTTTCTTTATTAGATATAAATGAGAATTTGACTTTTAACCGGACACAATGGCGAAAAAGGATTCTTGTAGCCGACCCCACGTAGTGGGACAAAGGCTTGTTATTGTTGTTGTTGTTGTTGTAATGATCTTGATTTCCAGCTTTTAAGGAGCAGAGTTAATTGATCACCACTTTTTACTTGTGTATTTTCATGACAGAGAACTTTACAGTAACACTATCAGCGGGACAATTCCTAGTGATCTTGGCAATCTTACAAATCTGGTCAGCTTAGACTTGTATCTAAACAACTTCACTGGCAATATACCAGAGTCATTAGGGAAGCTAACACAGCTCCGTTTCCTGTATGATAACTCAAACTTGTGTATGTTATTTTAAATTTTGTTTATTCCTTTGGTTGTAATGCCCATTCATGAGTTTGCAAGTTGCCATGCTTCATGATTTATGTGCAATTTTCTTTGATTCTGAAGTAGTAGTTAATCTTCACTGCCTTCATTCAGCATAACTTTATGCAAATCTTAAAATCTACTGTTATTTTCTCTAAGAGGCTAATGGATCATTTTGTAAAAAATGTCATTACATAGGAAATGCCTTTCTAGTGTCTCTTTTGAAACCTTATTCTAGGATGAATAAAATCTTGAAAATTTGTGTGACATGTGCTTATTGTAATAACCTATCGATGTAAGATATTTCAGGGTCTACGATTCTTAATACAACTACATGATGTGATGTATGAAAACACAATTAATTTTGCAAATATATAGTTCAAAGACTAGTTAAAATAAATACTTGCTTTGTTTTAATGTAAATTGATATATAAGAGAAGTCCGAACCTACCATAATATTGTGTATTTTAAATCAATGAAATTAATGATAAAATTAAGCCATAAAAATTACAAGTTGAATGAGATTCACACTTTGATAAAAAAATTTAGTTTGTATCATATTTAAAGGAAAATTTGAATTATGGAGGTCAACCTTAGTGTCTAAAGATTTCGTTTGAGTAAATCTAAAACTGAATACATGGAGTGTAATTTTAGTATTAATAGATCTAGTGGGGGGATTGTAACTTTGGGCGATCGGGTCATTAATAAGAGTACACATTTTAGACATCTTGGTTCTATTGTTCAAAGTGATGGTGAAATAAAAGAGGATATTACTAGTAGAATTCAAGTTGAATGGTTCAAGTAGAGTGCATCGGGCTTGTTTTTTGATAGAAAAAATCCCTCAAACTTAAGAGAAAATTTTATAAGATGGTGGTGTGACCTGCAATGATTTATGACACAAAATGTTAGCCATTAAAAGGGAAGCATAAAATTAAGTTAAGGGTTGCAAAAATGATGATTCTTAGGTGTATGAGTGAATTCATTCTTAGAGACAAAATGTAAAATGAGTATATACGTGAGAAGGTCTACCTCTAGTGGCAGATAGGATTAGAGTGAGTCACCTTAGATGGTTTGGACACTGATATGCCGCTGGCCTTGGTTGGACCGGTCCTTGTCTACACTCGGCGGGCCCCACAGGGGCGGAAAACAGAGAGAAAGGAGAGGGGGGCGGAAGCTCTAAGTAGGCCATTCTTGGATTAATTCAAACTTAGGAGGGAAAATTTGAATGAAGGGGTTGTTTAGGAAGTTTGTAATTGTCCTTTGATGTTAATTAGGAGCTTAGGAGATAATTGGGAGGATCTTGAATTTGAATGCAATTTGAGATCTAGGGTTTGTGCTTGGGCTCTAGGCTACGGCTAGAGAATCGGAGAGTTGTTTCTTCCTCTAGAATTGAAGAAACGTGTATCTTTTGTTGTTCTCTTGCATCTACTAGTGAACCACTTTGTTTTTCTCCAAGTTTCTCACTGTTTCTATGCAAAATCTGCTGCGTTTGGGATGAATTACTGCTGTAAACAGCATTTTCTCTTTGCTTTCCTACTAATTTCGATTAGGTTTGCTTGTGAACTCAAGTATTACCTTAGGGTTACTTGCGAACTCAAGTATTTCCTATTAGACTATTGACCTCCATATGATACCCAAAGAAAATGAAACGAAGTGCATACCTGCTATAACTCGTCGGATCCACAAATATTGCCGGAAATCCTGCCGAAATCCCGCTGAAATTGACTCTAGGATTTCTGTTAATTGCTTTGGTTGCAAGAATGTGTGTCACACTCCCGCATCTCGTCCTTATTCTTTGAGGAAGGAGATGATAAATTATTTTTTCAACTTTATGATTTTCTTTATCTCCAACGCTAGAATCAATAACAAGTTCTTTCCTTATCCATAATTTTTTAATATTTTGTGCTATGTTTAAAGTAGTGCAAGTTGTGCCAAATATTATGCACTATTTGTCATTAACAAAAATGATTTGAATGAACTTTTTTATCACCACCAATAGCTTCGACAATTTTAGGGGACTTAACCCTAAAATCACCATTATGTGGCCCGATTGTTGCAAATACTTATTAATTGTACAATTTATCCAAAATCTCAACTTGTCAAGATTGTTGCGACTTATACAATTTTTCATTTTTCAAGAAAGCTATAATAAATTAGTTCTTGTGGATGAACATTTTGATCTATGATGCATAGACACGAACACGGATACAACACGATACTGACACGGGTTACGTCAATAATTGAAAATATATGACACATGCACGGTATTATAGTTTTTATATTTTAAATATAGTGTATAAAAAGTAAATAAGTATAATTTTAAAAATAATTTAGAAATAATAAGTCATTTAACTAATTTTTTTTGCTTAAAGTGATTAATATTAGGATGTCGAGAGTCGGGTGTCAATGCTGTCTATTAGTCATTGAGAGAGGAGATGATAATAATGTCGAGAGTCGGGCGTCGGTGTTTTACAGTCGATGTTGAGAGGGTGTTAGTTGACGATGTTGAGAAGGCATTGGATAAAGATGAGATGTCAATTTGTGGGTGTAGAAATTGTTAGCATCGAGTATCAATGTAAAGACAACATCAGACTTTGATATGGAGATCATTTTAAAATGTTGATGTTGTAAGGACATCAGATGTCGATGTTGAGATGACATCGGGTATTGTTGTGAAATCAAAGTTGTAACCCGCCAAAGAAAAATGGAAATATTAGCTAAATAGGATATTAAGTGCGAGCGATTGATTTGGTGTTGTGGATAGGAAATAAAAAAAATTAGTTTTTATATTTTAAACAAGTAAAAATTTTAAATACAATAAATTATATTTAAAAATATTTAAGATGCGAGTGTCTGACACGCGTGTCCAATTTGTATTCATTATTTTTTAATCAGACACTTTTTCGACGTGTCTGACATGTGTCGGACGCGTGTCGTGTCAGACACGGCACATCTTTGAGAAGAAGTGTCGGTGCATCATAGATTTTGATGATGGGGTATTGTTTTCAATTTTTTATGGTCCTAAATTTAAGCTTTGGGCCTTATCAAAATTATTATTATTCAATCAATTTGTTTTAAATATGTTAAGATTTACAATATGGTGCATTGATATTGTTGATTTGCTATGATGCATAGACACGGACACGGTGACACGGACACGGGACATGCCAATTATTTGAAAATATATGATACTGTTTGGACATGGTATTATAGTTTTTATATTTTAAAAATAGTGTATAAAATTAAATAAGTATAATTTTAAAAATAATTTAGATATAATAAGTCATTTAACTAGAATTTGTCCTTAAAATGATTAATATTAGGATGTCGAGAGTCGGGTGCCGATGCCGTCTATCAGTCATCGAGAGAGGAGATGATAATGTTGTTGATAGTCAGGAATTGATGTTATGTAAGAAATATTGGGCGTCAATATTAAGAGAGCATTTATCGTCGATGGTGAGAAGGCGTTGGACAAAGATGAGATGTCAAATTGTGGGTATAAAAATTACTAGCATCGAGCATCAATATAAAGACATTATCAGACTTTGATATGGAGACCGCTTTGAAATGTTGATGCTGTAGCGATGTCAGACGTCGATGTTGAGATGACATCAGACATTGTTGTGAAATCAAAGTTGTAACCTGCCAAAGAGAAATGAAATTCGATGAACGGGGTATTAAGTGTGAGCGATTGATTTGGTGTTGTGGATAGGAAATAAGAAATTTAGTTTTTATATTTTAAATAAGTAAAACTTTTAAATACAAGAAATTATATTTAAAAAAAGTTCATAAAATATTTAAAATACTCGTGTCCAATTTATTTTTAATATGTATTTTTTAATCGGACACATTTTTGACATGTCCGACACGTGTTGGAGTAGAAAAAAGCTTTAGCCTAATTTCATTGATTGTGCATGCACTATCATAACTAGTTAAGGCGATTAAGATAATCTTTTCTCTTCCTTCTTTCCCTCCCTCCCTCCCTCGCTCTCTCCCTTCTTCCTCACTTCTTTCATTATGTAATTCTTCTAGAATTCAATTTCTATATTGTTGCAACTTATTCAAGTCTTAATTTTTAAATTTACAATAGAAATAATTGTTTCAAAATAAAAACAATGATGATTTATTGTTTTCATTTTTAATGGCTCTAAGTTTATGCTATGTCTCTTTACAATTTTTTTTTGTCAATCTAATCTTTAAAATTATGATTTGTCACTTACGTTGGACTCATGATGTCAAGAATTACTAGTTGGTGCATTCATATTGTTGATTAGAGATATCACTGGTGATAGCTTGCTAGTCTCCACCAAGTACCTGAGCTGGTTTGTGGAAGTCGATACGACCAACCTAAGGGTAGCTTCATCCATTCATAATTTGATAATTGAAGGATGTGGTTACAACACTCATTATTGACTTTTAAGTGGAATAGTTCAACATATTTCAAACAACAAGCAAAGCACCAATCTAAAAATTCATGAATAGGCTTCAATTTAGTTCATTTAGAGCATTTTTGAATGTAGGAGAATTCTGGAGTTCTAAAGTGTATAACTTGGATTCTATAGAAGCTTTTCAAGCTATCCTTAGCTTGTCGAAGGTCAAGATGCATCTTCTGGAGCTTTGATACTATGTTACTCTTATCCCCAACGAAAGATGCGATGCAATTAGCATTGGGTGCCCTGTCAATCTTTTTGCATTATTGTCACCTGAGACGCCTACAATAGTTTTCTTTCATTCATATTTTTTTTAGCTTTTCCTTGCTTTGTATTGAGGCATTTTTAATTATGGAGAACGGTGTCACATGTTAACCTCTTTTGCTATTATATAGTAGTGGTTTCAATTAGGCTTGACCCTTTTTTACTTTAATTTTTGAGTTTTTTAGTTTTCCACGCAAAAAGAGGTGAAAAGGTGGTTCACTCTTGGTGGAAATTGCTTTCTTTCACTTGAAGCTATTTTTGCAAATAAGCAGAAGAGCTGTACTTTTTTAACATTTTTTTGCCATTAGTTGAAGCTATGTCAATTGGGATAAAGCTTTGTTTTCTCGTTTTTTCACCAATCATGCATGCACTTTCATCAATAGCCAAGGCGATTAAGATAATCTCTCTCTCTCTCCTCTTCTCCCCTCATCCACCAAAAAAAAAAAAAATCCATCCTGAGTTCGGACTCAATTGCTTCCAAATGACACGAGCAACCAAACAACTAAAAGTTTGTGCCCTTAAGTTGAGGCTGAAGAATTAACAATACATTCTATTAGAATTGTGGAAAATGCTAAAGGGAATAAATTTGATTTTGTAGTAAGTTACATTTTTCTAAGAAGGAATGTGCATCACAAGAAGAGAGTTTACACTTTTGGTAAAAAACCTATTCTATATTTCCTCTAGATAGTTAGGTCGCATGATTGAGCTAATTAGCTCTCCTTTTTCACTTGTGTTTCCCGAATGTAAAAGTTGACAACTGTGCTTCTGCTAGTGCCAGGATGAATAAAAACTGTTTTGAATTTGTTTATCTTTATGTTAAAAGTCTATTATTGGATATTTCTAATTTTAATGTTATTTTCTTCCTTTTTCTGATTTTTGGAAGAATAGTCGACTCAACAACAACAGCTTAACTGGCCAAATTCCAGTATCTTTAACGAATATCTCTGCACTTCAAGTCCTGTAAGTTGGTGCAGTACTATCAACTTAGTCCCTCTGATGTAAGTTTTGTTTTTGTGTATCCTTTTCCTAAACAAATATTACAGGGATCTGTCAAACAACAACTTATCTGGTGGAGTTCCATCCAATGGATCCTTTTCTCTGTTCACGCCCATCAGGTTTTTCCAGTCTGATGTTGTTAGCCTTTAGGGTGTTGTGCAACTTGAAATTTTGCTAACTATTTTATGCCAAAAAAACTGTAGCTTTGCAAACAATCCTCTTTTATGTGGTCCGGGCACAACAAAGGCCTGTCCTGGTGGCCCTCCACTTTCTCCCCCACCTCCACTTGTCGTGCCAACGCCACCCTCATCTCCAGGTTGTCCTTACCTGAGCAATTTCTTTCCTTATTGTCTTTAATACTGTATTTTACCTTGGCCTGCCGAAATAATGAAGTTATGCTTTACTGATAAAAGCATTACAACCTGCCTCAAATGATCCTTGATGACACCCGCCACACTTAATTTTGGCATAAATCTTTTAAAGATTGCATTCTACAAACAGTGAAAACTGTGATATATAATTTTCTAAAATCTGATTTGTATGTTAAAATTCTGATTTGTTGGATTGAAACGTTTGGATAACTGAATTTTGTGTTTTGTGACTATCATTTTTAAAGGAAGCAGTGCCTCCAGCACTGGAGCAATAGCAGGTGGAGTTGCTGCTGGAGCTGCTTTGCTATTCGCTGCACCTGCCATTGGGTTTGCATGGTGGCGCCGTCGTAAACCGCAAGACTACTTCTTTGATGTGCCTGGTTAGTATCTGTGCTTTCAAGCACTTGTTTTATGTTACTCATGAATACTGTGTGACATTTATAAGTTCTACAGCTGAGGAGGATCCAGAAGTCCATCTGGGCCAGCTTAAGAGGTTCTCGCTCAGAGAGTTGCAGGTTGCTACTGATGGTTTTAGCAACAAGCACATTCTGGGTAGAGGCGGTTTTGGGAAGGTTTACAAGGGACGACTTGCAGATGGTTCACTGGTGGCAGTAAAGAGGCTTAAAGAGGAGCGCACTCCAGGAGGAGAGCTTCAGTTCCAAACAGAAGTAGAGATGATTAGCATGGCTGTGCATCGAAATTTACTTCGGCTTCGTGGATTTTGCATGACGCCCACTGAACGTTTGCTTGTGTATCCATATATGGCCAATGGGAGTGTTGCTTCTTGCTTACGAGGTGCTTGTTTTCATGTCATGGATGCTTGTCATTTAAACATGTAGGAATAGTATTCTCAAAGTTTTAGACTCTCCATTCATGTTAACGTTGCAAATGCATAATGACTTCTCAATCTGATATTTGCATACTGCCTCTGTTAATTCAGCTAGACAAAATCAGTCATAAAGCAGTTCCAAGTTTTGTGTTTCCTATTAAACTATCTATTAACCACTTGGTTTTCAGAACGTCCACCGAATCAACCACCACTTGAATGGACTACTAGGAGAAGGATTGCATTGGGATCTGCTCGGGGCCTTTCCTACTTACACGATCATTGTGATCCGAAGATAATCCACAGGGATGTTAAAGCTGCAAATATTTTGTTGGATGAGGAATATGAAGCAGTCGTGGGAGACTTTGGCCTTGCTAAGCTTATGGACTACAAGGATACACATGTAACAACTGCCGTACGTGGAACAATCGGGCATATTGCCCCTGAGTATCTATCTACTGGGAAATCTTCAGAGAAGACTGATGTCTTTGGCTATGGGATCATGCTTCTCGAGCTAATCACAGGACAAAGGGCATTTGACCTTGCACGGCTTGCGAATGATGATGATGTCATGTTGCTTGACTGGGTAAGCTCAAAATCTTCTCTGTCCTTTGCTTACCCATATTAGTCATAATTTTCAGCTAATGGGTCAAATCTGGTATTTTTAGCAGTCTCTGGATTTGTATAAGCTTGTTTACTTTCGTCATTTATCTATTTGTGCTCCTATCTGTCTTATTTATACTTGAGATCTAATTGGTTGCTGTTGCAATTTATCATGTTTTCTTATTGAGTTTGATTTTAATTTATTTCAATTTATACTTGACAAATTTGCAATTTTGCTAGTTCTTTGCCAGAGATACATATATTGTTTATAGTTCTCAAAGTGCTTGCTTGTAATCTGCTTCCTGCCATGCTTTAGGTGAAAGGACTTCTGAGAGAGAAGAAGTTAGACATGTTAGTAGATCCTGATCTGCAGAATAATTATATAGAAGCTGAGGTTGAATCTCTGATCCAAGTTGCACTTCTGTGCACACAAGGCTCACCCGTGGAAAGACCAAAAATGTCGGAAGTGGTGAGGATGCTAGAAGGTGATGGTCTTGCTGAGAGATGGGAGGAGTGGCAGAAAGTTGAGGTCATCCGCCACGACTTGGAGATGGCTCCTCACAGAAACCCAGATTGGATTGTCGATTCCACCGACAATCTTCCTGCAGTGGAACTATCAGGCCCCAGATGACCTGTATTCATAGCAGCGCCTAAAGAGGATGATATTTGTTTATGGTCGGTCATCTTCTAAAACGACCTTTTGTCTAGTTCTTAAAAACCCATTTCTCTTTCATTGCTAAGATCACAGTTCTGTATATTGATCCAGGGGCATTATATTTGTTTAGCAATTTGTCAATGTGATAGTTTTTTTTTTTTCTCTTCCGGAACCATATTGCAGGGGATTAATAGGTTGCTCTGCAGGAAATTCCGACGGTAATGATGCTTCCATTTATGGGTATGTGTTATTTATCATCTTTTATAGCAATGTATAATGAATTTGTTAAGAACTGAAAAATAGATTATGGCGATTTTTATTTAGCATTGTCATCCCATATGTCTTTCAAAGTTATGATTTTAAAGCCAGCCTTCAGATTACTCCCTTTTTTTAGTAATGGTCATTGGGCAGAAAATCCAAATACTGGCAGCTTATTGTATTTGAAATTAGTTTAAGGCAAGAAAAAGAGGGCAAAGTGTCATCTGAAGGAGAGATTATTCTGTGCGGGCACCAGATAGTCCGGAGACTTATCAGAAAGCGTCACATCATCCGGTACCGAGAAATACTGAGCATTGGTATCGAGCAAAAAAGTGACTGGTGCGTTGTGGTTGGTCTCTGGACGCCATCCGTGATCCGCCCGTTATAAGAAATGCATTTGAAGCATTCAAAATTGGGTCGAAGGCTATGTTTTTTTTTTTTTTTCTCTATGAAGTTTTGGCTTCTTCTCTGTTGTGGAGAAGAGCATAAATGGTCGAGTACAATTCTCAACGCCTAGTTAATCTAAAGCTCTTTCATCCAGGTCTGATGTTCTTCATTGTTTTGCCGTGTGAATAAGAGTATCTTCATCCATCTGAATTATCAAAACTGGGCTTATTCAGAAGGAAAAATCACCAAATCCAAAAGTTTTTTAAACTAGGATTTCTGTTTTGGTTCATCTTCAAACTTTTGGTTCCACCCAATTCTACTACTAATCACTGCTGTAGCTAATGTCAATTATTATCAATCTCATCAGTCATAAAGTTTTAAGCACTTAATGAGTCATTTTTAACTTTTTAAAACAAAATTAGAAAATTTTCAAATATGATAAATTTGTTAAAATAGCATTATCTGTATTTTTAATTAACAGTAGTTTTCATCACATAACTTTCAGATTACTCAGCATGCCTTTTACAGCTGTTTAATAAAAAAGCAATAACATCTTTTTTTTTTTTTTTCTCTTTTGAAATATAATCCTGACGTGTTAAAGTTGGTCAAAAAGCGCATTCAAACAGCTTAACAAGTTCCTGAACCCTAACATGTCACCGACTTTAATTATTTAGTTCATTTTTTAGTAACTTTTGAAAAAAAAAAATTATGACAATTATCTATTTCTTATAATGAATATTTATCTCTTATCATCCCATGTGGTCCATGTCATAAGCTTACCCTTTTACATTGGCACGTGGGCTGCACATGGATTCTTCTGCTCCTGCTTTTTAGGCTTCTTTACCATAAAAGAGAGAAGAGCTTAACTGGTTTTTATAATATTTAATCAGTCAAATAAGAATATTTTCTTATATTCTTAGTATATATAAATGATATATATTTTCTATAATTTATATATAATTTTCATTTCAATAAATTAACAAACTAAGCAAAATTACACTTAAATTTGTTCAAAACCTTTTTTTTTTCTAACATTAATACTTTCAATATTCACATCATGATCCTTTTATCTTTTTCTCTATTATGTGGCGCATGGATAAATTATTTTGTGTTGACACCGGACTAGGAGAACCGTCTAGTTTGTCTCTATGAACAGTAAAAGTGCAGTGAATTGCGCTTTCACTATCCATCAAAGTCCTACATGAGGTCCTTGTTGGGTACTCATTGAGTACCCATGCTCTGTGCTGGCAGGCTTTGCCCACCCATACCCACTTATGGTGACTTTTGGTATGTTATACCCACCC